ACTGTCTGACAAGTGCATGCGCCCTATAGCAAAAACCTCTACAAAAAAAGGAAAAAAAAAATCTACAAGGAGAACTATCATATGATCCAGTAATCTCGTTCCTGGGTATCTACCCAAAGGAAAGAATATTCAGTCAAAAAAGTGCTTGCACATCTGTGTTTATTGTGACATTATTCACAATTGCTAGGATATGGAACCAACCCAAATGTCCACGCACAGAAGAATGGATTGAAAAAGTGTGGCACATATACTCTATGGAATACTACTCAGTCATAATAAACAAGACCTTGACTTTTGATAGAAAGTGGACAAATATGAAAGATTTAGGGCTGAGTGAAGCAAGCCAGGTTATAAAGGAAAGACACTGTATATCTCCACTTAATATATACCAATTGTCTGCACTCTATGACTAAAACTGAAAGTAGAGGATACAGAACCATGGAAATGGTAATAGATACCAGATACAGTGTGGGAAGAGGGTGGCAGAAGGAGGAGAGTGTGAGGAAAGATATTAAGGAGAAAAATGGAGAGGCAAGACATTTATGGAGCACAGAAACAGATTATTATCTGTTGATGATAACATGTATTGTATCCCAAACTGGACTGGTGCAAAATATATTCATGTTGGAAAATTCACTTTACAAGCTAAGTAATGTATAGTGATTTAATGTATAAAAGAAATTAAAAAAATGTATTATTAAAAAAATAAATAAAAAGGGACTGGCAGGTGGTGTGGTGGTTTAGGGTGTTGGAGTCCCACATTGCTGACCACAGTTGAGTCCCAGACCTGGCGGCTAGCTTTCTCACCAGCCCCCTCTCTGTTCCTCTCTGGTCAAATTTAAATAAATAAAGTTAAGGAATTCTTAAAAAAAAAAAAAAAGTTAAATAAATAAATAAATGCACCCATACCCAGCGTATTCCAGTTGGTTTGGGAACCATGCTTCTTGTCTTCAAGGGCTGGTACTACATGTATGCCGTTATTGGGCTCCTTTCTTAATTCTTTTTCTTTTTCATTTCTTTTCTTTTTTTTTTTTATAAGAGAGATATTTGCTTTGGGGTGCGTGTACTCACTGGAAAGACCGAGACAGAAAGTGAGAAATTGCCCCAAGGCGGATGACCATGCTGCAGTTCCTTTTCTTCCCTTCTCCTCTCAGGATCTTTGGGCATGCAATCCCCATGTGCCCGGTGTGAGTTTAAACCACCGGGTCTGGAACTCAAACCTTGGTTGACTATGCCATCTTCTGGTCCCCTGTTTAGTCTTTTATTTAGATTTAGAGGGGGAAAATCCTTTTCTAAGAGATACACATGCAATTATTATAGATAATTGTTCACACAAACACAAAAATATTTGAAGAGATTTTTGCTATAGGGCACATGTGCTCACCAGAGACAGAAAGTAAGAAATAACCCCCTAGAAGGGATGGCCATGCCACAATCCCTTCTCCTCCATTCTCCTCTTGGGATTATGAGCATGCATACTCCTGTGCTGACTTGAGTTTTAAGCCTCTGGGTCTGGGACTAGAACAGTGGTCGACTGACTACATGGGAGTCCAGCAACATAACCATTATGACATCTGCTGGTCCCTGACAATTGTTCAAATTTGATTAAACATAAAGGAAATGCCTTTAGCAATATCTTCTATGATCCGATTAATAAGCATTTCAGATTAGGCCCAGCTACAGTGGTATGGGCAGGGAGGGGTGCTGCTGTGTCACGCTAGAAGCCATATTGGAAGACTATCAGTTTCCGCCCCTAGGGTTCAACTTAACATGGTGAGCTTGCCTATAATCCTGGTTGGCTTCAGGGCTGGGAGAGGACCGCAGCCTGAAGTCAAGGGTGCTGCTGTCTTTTTCTTAGCAAGCTTTTAAAAATCAGATTATATTTAAGAACTCTCTTCATTTAGCTTTTCTTCATATCTTTTCCTTAGCAAACTTTTAAAAATAAGATTAAGAACTCTCTTCATTTAGCTTTTCTTCATATTGATCATTTGCCCCCAAATACCTTTTATTTACCAGTATCTTATTTATTTAAAATTAGATTATTGGGCAGTCTGTGGCCTTGTGGTTACAGTAGCTGGATCCCACATGCCTGACTACATAGTTCGAGTCCTGGACCAAACCCAGCAGCTTGGAAAACATGCCAGTACCATGCGCCTACGTGCCCAAAATCCTGACAGGAGGGAGAAATGGAAGAGAAAGGATTATGGCATGACCCCGGCCATGGGGTTACTTTATCACTTTGCAACTCTGCCTGTCTGTCTCTTTAGGGAGTGCAAGTGTCCTCTGTGCTTCTTCCTAATGGGTGGCTCTGAAATACCCCAGCATTGCAATATATATGGACACCTGCAGACTGCTGTGAAGCTTACGCCGTTTACAACTTTATAGTGTTTCGTGCCAACTATCTAACTATCCCGAAGCCAAGAATCAACAGAAACATTTTCTTTCTCTGTGTTGGTGATGGCCATGGGCTATGTAAAAGTAAGTATGGAAACTGCTTGGTTTTATTTCAGGGGTGTTTTCAAGTATCAGTGAGTTCTCTGCAAGGTACTGTGTTAAGCACAATGAAGAGGACAAAAGTACAGGACGCGTTTTCACCTGATGCAGTTCAGACTGAGGTTTGAAGGCTAGAACACATTTTCATAATCCACATATATGTTAGTCTTTCTTACATCATGGCTCCCAGATAGAAAAATTAAATAAGGCATTTCAAGATCTGGGCCCATAGCCCATTAATTAGACACTCTATAGGTTTAGCTAAAATTGTTAAGCATATCAAATTCCTTTGCCAGTTGAAATGTTAACCTTTCGAAGCGTTAAGTGTGAGTTTTAAACACAAGTTCCAAATGTGGAAATTATATTCCATATTTGGAGTTGCTTCTAAACTTAAGCTATCTAGAATCATCCCTCTGCAGGATCTAGAAGTAACAAAGTAGACGACCTCCAAATTCTAACAACAGATAGAAAATTAGGTGGAGGTCTCCTTTTCTTCTCAGTCTGTGTATTCAAGCTGGCTTTTGTATGCACTCCTAGAGACCCGGAGATCTTTTGTGAGGAAACCATTTTTTCTTCCAGTTCAACACCAAAGTAACTGCCCCTTACCAAGGCGTTCTTCGAGCTGGAATCAGGTCAGGAGAAGAATGGAGTAGGTGCTCCTCAAGCAATTCCTGCAGCTTCTGGAGTCCTTCTCATGGGCCCTAGACCGCCCGGCAGAGACCTCCACACGTGCCATTCACTACCTCTTTTCCCTGCCCTGTAACCTGGATATGAAAACCTGCAGCCCCACCTTGTACGTGGCCAGCTGGAGTAAGCACAGTGAGGGGACGAGGAGAGCCCAGTTTCGCACTGAGGATGAATGACTTGCCTAAGACTACAGGCGAGCCAGAAGAAGAGCCTGGTTTGGCCTTGCACTTTGCCATAGGGTATGTCCAGTGTGACTGAGCAGATTCCGGGGCCTTATCTCGTAAGAAAACCAGGCAAAGAGATCCCAGAGATGTCTGTGACTATGGGAGGAAGCTCAGTTCTCACAGACAACTCCTGGACGGAAGAGGACTGTACAGGGTCCCTAGAAGCTGCCCTGGAGGGTGCTGCTCTCCTTAAGGCCATGGTGTGCCTGGAGCTCAGTGATCTCTGGGCAGGGGTCCTGGCTCCACCCGGGGATTACGTCATGGTAGAACTGGATAGATGCTGTCCACATTGCTTCCTGGCAGCATTCTCAGCGGCTGCAGTCACAGCCCCAGCAGCAGAAAAAAATACAGCACCAGCTCAGAAGGCAGCTTGGGCTGTTGGTAAAATCTTCTTCCGTAGTATGCAAGCTGACAAAGCCAGAGAAGAGAACTCGCCATCACACTCTCCTTCAAGCTCTTTTTCCATTTTTACTGGAGTTGATGCAAATGCTGAGAGGCGCTGTGCTTTGACTTGGAACTGAAGATGACACAGTCTAACATTAGCTGTCATCATCTACCTGCAGTTCCATGAATGCGGGAACTGCAGAATCTGTAGTGAGAGGGTCCTGCTCCAGCAGCGTCTACTCATCTTATGTTAGAAAGACACCCTCTTCCCCATTTCTCCCCCGAAAATCCAAACTAGGTATCCTGAAAAGTCACTTTATGTAAATGAGCCCAGTCTCAGTGAGCCAGGGGATAAGAAGCGGGAGACAGAAACCAGGCCAACTTAGAGAAGAGTTTCACAGAGAACAAGAACTGAGAAGAAAGACAGGAGAAAGAAAGCAGGAACCAGACCAACTTCGATAGCAAGACTTCTCAGGGAAAAACTCTACTGATCCTGCCTGCCACAACTCGTAGCAGCTTCCCATTCGAGAAGCCATGCCTGCCACTAAGCACCACACGACCTGGAGTAAACCTGCTTCATTAGCATGCTAGGAAGCACGCTGCCAGCAGATCTGAGATGCTAGTAACGCGTACATCTCGTTGACGTGGACCCTGTGTGCTACAAGCGGCTTGTAGCCGGGAAGTCTTCCTGTCCCACTTTTGTAAACTGCCTGCGGGGAAACGTGACAAGCTGGTGTGCGACTGTTTTGTGACTTTTCTGGTTTCCTAGTCCGCAACGTTCATGAGCCCCAACTCTATCTATACCCCCTGTAACTCCCGCAGTCAGGGCCCGGCCTTTGGAGGATGAGCTCCTCTGGGACCGCCTAATAAGCCCGAGTTCTCCTACTCTCTGGTGCTTGACTTCTCCGTGGTCTGTTTTCTATAGCATTTCTGGTTTCCTGACAGGGAAGTCAACCGTGCTGGCTCCTTGAGCCACCAGTTCAGTAGGGGGGAGCTTGCCAGGACAAAGAGGCCCCAGAACTGAATAAAGTAGCCCTACTTTGCCTTGTCTTGGGCTCTCCTTGATCAGAGGGCCCTGATGCCTTATTGGCAACTGACCCTGACTGGACTTAGTGGAGAGATGGACCAACTTAGAAGCTGAAAATATCCAGTCAGCTCATAGGCTCAAACCTCCAGAAAAGGTGAAGTCCCAGAACTCAGTAACCAAGTCAGGCCCACCCCAACTTGGGTGGAAGGGTAGCCCGATCGCCTCCCATGGTCTTCCAATGGAGCCACCAGTCCAGGTCACTGTGTGGTCTCCTGGCAGAGCCACCAGTTCAGGACGCTGCATGGTCTCATGCTGGAGCCACCAGTTCAGGTCGCTACATTGACTTCTGTCAGAGCCTCTGATAGGGACCTGTTTGCTATCTAACTCTACCTCTAAAAGCTGCCTGCAAGCAGAAAGTACTGACACCTATTCCACTTCTGTACGTTGCCTGCTTCAACAGACTGCAGGTCTCTGTAGGAACTGGGAAGGGTAATGCAGCTGTTTTGCAGCTTTTCTAAGCAAAGCAGCCAAAGATACAGTTAGATAGGTCAGCCAGTTCCACATAGGACAGGCATTCAAGTAGCCCTACAATGAAGATATCAGAAATGGTTCTGAACGGGCCTCTGTATCAGGAACAGAAAAGCTGGGGAACCCTTGTCCAGGTAGAGAGGGAGTTTCAAGGCCCGAGTGGGATGAATTAAGGGTGGATCGCCTCGCTGCCTTCTCCCTTCCTGCCTTTTTTGCACACCCTGTTTACTCTTCAGTTAAACTGTGGTAGGGGGCCTTCCAGGACAAAGGAAGACAGCAGAACATGCTTAGCATTTAAGTATGTACGTGCAGCCTATGGTGACCTTGTAGCCCTGTCCCCATAGCAACCTAGCAACTCGTAGTGACCTTGTACCCGACAGCAATCTAGCAACTCTAACTTTATGTACGCCTGCGTATCTAACGGTCTAGTAACCCACTACATGCCTACGCCATTCTACAGCAGTCTTCTACCCCGTGGAAAGTATATCCAAGTATACTCCCATATATGGGAGACGAAGAAACTAAAATAGACTTGGGATGTAAATCCGCTGGGCCAGTGGTAGCACACAAATCGCTGTTTTCCTGCAAAAGCCTTGGTGCACTGTCTCTTTGTCACTACCTGCAAAAGCCTTGGTGCACTGTCTCTTTGTCACTAAATATCCCACAACCACAATTTCGGAAGCTTCCCCTTCTGAAACTGTTTCGATGCCCTCCTCCTATCATGTCTGAGCTAAACGGGGAACTGAACCTGTCCTGCCACCTACAAGCCCTGGGGCATGCCCTGTAACAGAGACAGCGCTTCATGGCCATACTGGGTGCCACACAGACACTCAGGGTATAGAAAACTGGAAAACATCGGGGAAATCCCTTGTTATCTAGAAATTTAGTCTTTTTTTTTTGGAGAGGTTTTTGCTACAGGGTGCATGCGCTTGCCAGAAAGACAGAGAGAGATCGAGAGACAGAAAGCGAGAAATCACCCCCCAGGGGGGATGGCCACGCCGCAATCCCTTCTCCTCCATTCTCCTCTCGGGATCTTGGGCACGCATGCACACGTGCCCGGTGTGAGTTTAAGCCACCGGGTCCGGGACTCGAACCACGGTTGACTACATAGGAGTCCAGTGACACAGTCATTATGTCATCTGCTGGTCCCTCATAGTTCAGCCTTTAAGTGAGAAGAGACTAAGTCATGTAAGGCCAGCTGAGTTTTGCTTGTCTTCAAAGAAACACACCTTAAATAATCTTGTTTTCCATAAGTAACCCAAAACAATGCTTACAAACAAAAATTGGGCAAATGTAAATGGAATGTCTGTAATTAAACTTGAATGTCTGTAATTAAACTTGTCACCATTTTTACATTTTTTAAAATAGGTAAAATTGTAAATATATCACACACACACACTTTGGCATCTTGTCTTATGTGGTATAAAGAAGTTAAAAGTAATTCAATGTGTTCTAAGAAAATATTTCTAGATATTATAAAATAAATGTTAAAATTCCAAAATAGGAATCAGCAGATGGTGTAGCATAATGGTTATGTTGCTGGATTCCCACATAGTTGACCGCAGTTCGAGTCCCAGGCATGGCAGTTTAAAACTCAAGCCAGGCATGTGTGTCTGCATGCCCAAAATTCCAAGGAGAACAAAGGAAGAGGGATTGCAGTGTGGCCATCCCCCTTGTGTGTGGGGGTCATTTCTTGCTTTCTATCTCTCTCTCTCTGGCAAGTGCACATACTCTATACCAAAAATCTCTCTTAAAAATAAAAATTCCAAAATAATGGTTACCAAAACTAGAAATTAGAGCAACACTTACGTATCTGAAATATACAAGGAAAATAAAGATGTTTCTATTAAATAGAAAATAAAAAAATGTGAGGGTGTGTTTTTGTTCAAGAGTGGTTTAATCTGGTGTAGGGGATGCTTAAAATTGTTTTAGAGCAAATGAATGACAAATGGATACTATAAAACTAACTGCATATAAAAAGCTAGGTAGGAAAAAAAGAAAGCAAGCAAAGCCCCTCTAGCTAGTGTAGATGGAGCCTCACATGACTGTACTGGTTGCCCCTACTGCTGTCAGGGTTGCAGGCATGATCCCACTAGAGACAAAAGGTCTGCCTCCATGGACCCATCCAGGCCTTGGACCGTAAAAACAGACCATGCATAGCTCCTCTGGATGACCCTTCAGAGACAAGGAATCTACAGCCCTGTTCTAGCCACTCCAGAGGCTGACTGATCAGCGCATGGTGGAAGCCTGAAGAACCTACAGCCCTGCCTTGGCCACTCAAGAGGCTGAGTGATCTATGCATGGCAGAAAACTAAAGGTACACCTATCCGAGTTGCAAGCGCTTTAGTCTTCGCTGTAGGCTTGGTTGCTACCATCCCGGCATGGAAAGGAGTGGCAGCTCAGGCTGAGAGTATCAAAAGGCTGCGAAGCCATGCTATGATGCCCTAAGGCAAACTAAGGGCACCAAAGAGGGAAATGACACAGATCTTGTTTGCTAAGAGCTGCCTGCAGACAGGAAGTATTTCTGTTCCACTTTTGTAAACTGCCTGCTGGAAACGTTACAAGCTAGTTTGCAACTGTTTTAGGGCTGTTTTGCTACTTTTCCCATTTCCTTTGTCTGTAAGGTCCATGAGCCCTGACTCTATAACCCCTGTAACTCCTGCAAGTTGGGGCCCAGGCTTTGGAGTAGGCGCTCCTCTGGGGCAGCCGGCTTAATCAACCCAGGTTCTCCTACCTCTGAGTGGTGGTGTTTGGTTTCTCAGCGGTCTGTTTTCTGCAACACTATGTTTAAGCATGTTGAACAAGAGAATGCATACCAATGAGTACCGCTTTCCAAATACAGTATTCTGGGAAACAGCCACGTACAGTTTAGACAACGTACTTAGAGGGACTGGAGACGGTGGAGTCGGCCCTTGGCGGTGGCCCTCCACCTGGTTTCCACAGTGGCTGTGATTCTCCCGTGCATGTGGGAACTGCAGAAACTAGAAGTAAGAGGGGCCTGTGCCAGCAGCTTCTAAGAGGCTAGAAAAGGGACACCCCCACCCCGATTTCTTTTTTGAAGACCCAGACCTGGTATTCTGAAAACCATCTCATGTTCATAAGCCCAGTCTTAGGACATAACCCTGTCTGGTTTCTCGTTCACAGTTTCTCAAAGGAAAGAAGAAAATTGAACCCTTCCATCACAAACAAGAAGCAACTCAAATTAACAAGGTAACCTAAATAAGACCTGAAACTATAAAACAACTGGGAGAGAACAAAGGGGAAAGCTGAACACCTGCCTTGGCAATGATTTTTTAGCTATCATCCCCAAAGCTCAGGACACAAAAGAAACATAAATAAATGGAACTGCATCAGAACAGCAAAAGAAACCATCAAAGTCAAACAGCAGGCTACAGGCTGAGAAACAATATTTGCAAACTATACATCTGAGAGGAGGTTAACATCCAAAATGTATAAAGAACGCACACGACTCAATAATGGAAAAATAACCTAAAAAAAAAAACCGTGCAGGGCCAGCAGATGGTATGGTGAAGGTACAGACTCCCACACGGACGACCACAGTTGGAGTTCCAGACCTGGCGGTTTCCTTTCTCACTTTCCCCCTCTCTCTCTTACTCTGGTGAGCCCTATACCAAATGAAAAAACAAAACAAATAAACAAAATAACCCAAAGGACTTCAATGGACATTTTTGCAGTGATGACATGAAAACAGTCGAGAGGCATATGAAAAGTGCTGTGTCATTAATCATCAAGAAAATGCACACTCACAACTCACACCCACTAGGCAAGCTACTATCAAAAGTCAAAAGGTGACGGTGTGAAGAAAGAAGAATGTAGACTGGTACAGACATTGTGGAAACCAGGATGCAGGTTTCTAGAGAAATTTAAAATAGAACTACCACGTGACCCAGCAGTCCCTCTTCTGGACATAAACCCAGAGGAAACAAAATCACAAGATACCTGCACTCCCATATTTACTGCAGCAGTATTCAAACAGCCACACTATCCAAACAGCCTACGTGTGTGTTGACAGACGAATGGATAAGGAACTGTGATACACACACACACACACATTTTTATTTATATATATGTGTATGAATGTATGTGTGTATATATATATATATATGTGTCACAAAATAGAAAATGATTCAGCCCTCAGAAAGAATGGGAGTTTGGGAACCAGCAATTAGCGTAATGGCTATGTCGCTGGACTCCCACGTAGTCGACCGCAGTTCGCGTCCCGGACCCGGTGGCTTAGAACTCACGCTGGGCGCATGTGCGTGCGTGCCCAAGATCCTGGGAGGAGAATGGAGGAGAAGAGATTGCGGTGTGGCCATCCCTCCTGGGGGCGATTTCTCGCTTTCTGTCTCTATGTCTCTCTCTGTCTGGCGAGTGCACGCGCCCTATAGCGAAAACCTCTAAAAAAGGAAAAAAAGAATGGGAGTTTGCCATTTTCCACAATGGATGAGCTAAGAGAGACATTTCGCTAAATAAAATAAGCCAGGCACAGAGACATACTGCATCATCTCATGATAGGTGTAAATCTTAAAAAACAAACAAACAAACAAAAATTCAAATATAAAGAGAACAAATGTGGTCACAGAGGGAACGACAGTAAAGGGGAGATGGCGAGATGTAGGACAGAGGATACGAAGCAGCAGGTATGCAGGATAAACACGTCTACAGAGCTGATCTACAGTGAGAATGATGGGTACTAACATCCTACTGTATGGGATCTGTACTAAATGAGTGCTTTCTAGCTGCTATTGCCACCAAAAAAAGGGCAACTGTGAGGATCATGGATGTGTTGAATCGTTTCACTACAGTAACCTTTTACCATTTATGTCTGTCCTGTAACACCACGCTGTATGCTTTAAACAGACAGAACATTTACTAATAAAGAACAGAAAGAAAGTAAACTGGGTGGTACGGGCAGTATAGCAGAGGTGAAGAGACAAGGCATTCTAGAGCACTCTGTCTCCTCTGTGCTCACTTACACACACCACACAGCATATCCAAGGTATGCTACTGGTATCTTCCTTATTAACCACCCTGTAAAACTGACCCAATGGCAGGCGAGCTCACAGCCTGGTGGTTAAGAGTGCAGGATCCCACATGGCTGGCTCACAGCACAGTTTGAGTCCTGGACCTGGCAGCTGGAGACATATGTCAGGTGCATGTGCACACGTGCCAAGGTTCCAGAGAGAAGAAATGGAAAAGGGATTATGTAGTGACTGTTCCCTGTCGGGGCTGCTTTCTTCCTCTCCCCCACCCCAACTTGCCTCTCTGGTGAATGCAAGCACCAACTGGCCAGAAAAAGTCTGACTGCTAGAAGGAATTAACTTGTTACATACCTTTTTTATGATTACAATCCCGTTAGTTCAGACAAGAAGTAGACTATGCTTGGTGCTCGAAACACGTTCTATAAGAAATCGTCCTGGGAACCAGCAGTTAGCGTAATGGCTATGTCGCTGGACTCCCACGTAGTCGACCGTGGTTCGCATCCCAGACCCGGTGGCTTAGAACTCACGCCGGGCACGTGTGCGTGCGTGCCCAAGATCCCAAGAGGAGAATGGAGAAGGGATTGTGGCGTGACCATCCCCCCTGGGGGGTGATTTCTTGCTTTCTGTCTCTATGTCTCTCTCTGTCTGTCTGGCGAGCTCACGTGCCCTATAGCGAAAACCTCTCCCGCCAAAAAAAAAAAAGAAAAAAAGAAATCGTCCTGACTCACTGTGATGCTGAGATTGATTCGGTGGTGCTGACAACTGAATACAAATCTCTTTCCCATTCTACGTCCATAGAAGTACCTAAAGTAAGCACAACTTCCTTCCAGTGGGGGTTCACTTCAATTATCCAACAGAATCTCTGCATCAAGATACATACAGCAAAATGGAGTAGCAGTCAGTTGCCCAGATTTACAAACGTGTACCTATGAAAACTGAAGTATAAACTTTCATTAGGATACAGAGAGTAGACTTGGATACGTAAGTGTTCTTTCTCTTAGTCAATTTTAAATATAAACGTTTATTTAAAATGCATTTAATTGGCCAAATCTAATTAACATTAACCTTTTTTATTCACTAGTATTTTCTCAAATCCATTTCTGTGCATAGTTGAAGATTAAGATCTTCAAAGAAAGTGGCTAAAACTCTGTAAATTTTCCTAATTTAAGATATTTCGGGGGGGGTACTAGCAGTTAGCGTAATGGCTATGTCGCTGGACTCCCACGTAGTCAACTGCAGTTCAAGTCCTGGACCCAGTGGCTTAAACTCACGCCAGGCACATGTGCGTGCATGCCCAAGATCCCGAGAGGAGAATGGAGGAGAAGGGATTGTGGTGTGGCCATCCCCCCTGGGGAGTGATTTCTCGCTTTCTGTCTCTCTGTCTCTCTCTGTCTTTCTGGTGAGCACACACGCCCTATAGCAAAAACCTCTTAAAAAAAAAAGTGTACCATAAATTTCTAACAGGTGTTTGTTGAGTTTCTTACATCATAAAAATGAAACTGCCTTTTCCATGTTACCTTGAATGTCTTAATCTGTTTCATTCCCTAGATTATATGTAGGCAGTCCAGCCACAAAGCAGGCTCTCCTCTTTACGTTTACATTGCAAAATTTTCTTTAGAGGAAACAAATTAGTATTAACATGTATAAGAAGAGAAAGGCATGAAGCCTGAAGTCACAGGCCATGAAAAGCCATGCTTGAGGAACATAAGGTGATCCTGACTCACTTTTACATTTATACCACTGGAGAACTGAAATAATTTACGTGAGGTTTGAGTTAAAAAAAAAAAACCACACACACACACAAAAATTAGTTTGTATTTTACCTGGATATTGTCGCTTTTTCATCAGTTCTTGCTGAATGAGCCCAGATGGCTCAATGGCATCCAATATAATTATGCTCCACAACCTGTCTGACTTTGGCCTTTGCAAAGCAGCAGGTCCGTCCTCCACATGTCTCAGCCAAAACTCAAATGTTTAAGAAAGTAATTCACTTCGGATGAGTTCCAGAGTGCTCCGATGTGGGTCTTTCTCTACGGAAATGTAAGACTGAACCCGTCCAAGTGTGCCAGCAATTACTGGCAGAACAGAGACGGCTCAGACACATCTCACACAGAGAAAGGTTCAGGGGAGCTCAGGACAGCGTTATTCTGTGCAGGTTCGGAGGTTGGCTCGATGCTCTGGTGGGGAGTATCCAGGGCCTGACCCACCTTCTCTGGGGTCAGTGAAGACAGCTCCTTCCTCGTTGTCATGTGAAGGCCCTCGGGATGTGGGGTATTACTAAGCCGAGGACTTTCCGTGGCCCCCAGTACACACGTCTGCTCCACGGCGTCTGCTTTACTGGTCCTCAGGTTTGCCAGGGTGCTACAGACTTCAGCCTTACTTCCTAAAGATGCCAAGTCTTCATTCCTGGAAAACCTTTCTGTAACACCCATGTCCTGTTCCAAACCCAGGACTTCGATACTCTTCATTCTTAAGTAGCAATCTTGACAAGACACTTCCGTTGTCACCTAGTCCCCAGGCTTTATCCAGAAGTCTTCATTAAACAGTGCGAGAGAAAAAAAACAACAAAAAATCTAATCGATCAATACGAAGAGCTTAGTCTCTATCTTCTCATCTAATTTTCCCCACATTCTTTCCATCATCACAGGGAAGATTACAACTATTCATTTAACTAAAAAAAAAAAGGCAGGAAAGCTGCAACTGTCTTACCTAAGAAAACTGAAGCTTGCACAATGGGGGACTCCAGAGTTCCAGCAGTGGGCCCTAAGACTATGCGTACTTTGGGGCCACCAGGTAATGTGGTGGCTACAGCAGCCGGACCACACACGGCAGACTCCTGAAAAACACGCTGGGAATATGTGCATGCCCAGAACCCAGAGAAGAGAGCGGAGGAGGGACTGTGGAGTGGTCATTGCCCTTCAGGGGTGCTTTCTGACTTTCTTTCTCTTTCCCCGTCTCTCTCTCTGAGCACACACAGACTACAACAAACTTAAAAGAAAGACTATCAGCATTTTAGTGATTTTACTGCACTCGCTAGTTCTCATCATGTCCCTAAACTAAAAAGTAGAGCTGCAAAGGGCTGTTATCGTTGGTAATGAAGTTAATAATCAAAGACAGACTAAGTCGAGGCATTACTGTCAAACGTCACTTTAGCTTACACGGACACTATTTTCTCTGAGAGGAATCTCCACCACACCAGGAAGCGCTAAGTGGAGTCGTGTAAGTAGTATTTACTAACTCGAAGTGTCTGATGCTCTTTGGTGTTCAGGAATGTGAAAGTACAGGAAAGGACTAAGTCCTACGTAAAGGCTGTATCGTGCACCTTCCCATGAACCTGCTTTTACACACTGTTAAACTTTAAAAGTGCATGTATAATACCAATCTTTCCTACCTGCCCTAGAGCCACTTGAAAACCCAAGTTGTTAATCTTATGTTTAAACGTTTAAAATGTCTTTTCTCTAAGGACTGAAAAAGAAAAAGCCATCTGCCCGTTATTTTAAGAACTAGAATAAATACAAATGAAAAATGTCATTTCCGAGTGTCAGTCGCTGTGGTAGGCATTTACTCCTTTTATTCTAATAGCCTGCGAGGTGAACAGTGCAATTTTATTTTTAAATATGACACAGCGAAAGCTCTGAGAAATAATCTGCAGGACTGACCAAGAGGGAGTCAGTAAGAGTCAAAATCTGAATCTTAATCTGCATGACTCCAAAAACACACCAGGCACAACACTGCAATGTAAGTCCAGGACTTAGAAATCCATGACTTGGGACCAGCAGTTGGCATAATGGCTATGTTGCTGGACTCTCATGTAGTTGACCACGGTTCGAGTCCCGGACCCGTTGGCTTAAACTCACACCAGGCATGTGTGCATGCGTCCCCAGGATCCTGAGAGGAGAATGGACAAGGGACTGTGGCATGACCATCCCCCCTGGGGCCGATTTCTCACTTTCTGTCTCTCTGTCTCTCTCCGTCTTTCTGGTGAGCGCACACACCGTATAGCAAAAACCTCTCCAAAAAAAAAGAAAAAAAACCTCCGTGACTTAAAAACCAAATTAGATCCCTGATCAAGAGACTAAACAGAAACAGAAATGTAATACCTTCCAGTTTTGTTTTCTTAGAGAGATTTTTGCTATAGGGTACGTGTGCTCTCCAGAGAGAGAGAGAAAGCAAGAAATCATCCCTTGGGGGAACATACCCACGCTGCAATTCCTTTTACTTCATTCTCCTCGCAGGATCTTGGGCATGAGCACACACGCACCCAGTGTCGAGTCTGAAGCCACTGGGTCTAGGACTTGAACTGTGGATGGTCTTGTGGGATTCCAGCGACGTGACCATTACAGTACCTGCTGGTCCCACTACCTTCCAGTTTTAAAGGGGTAGTTTGAGGGCCAGCAGGTGTCATGGTGGTTAAGGTACTGGACCACCACACAGTCAACTGCAATCTGAGTGCCGGACCTGGTAACTTGCTTTCTCACCCCCTACCCCACCTTTCTGGTCAAATTGAAAAATAAAAAAAAAAAAATTTTTTTTAAAAATGGTAGTTTTCCCATATAATTCACTTGCTTTGAACTTGCTGAAATTCATTCAATTGCAATTTTAAAAAATCTATACAAAAATTATCTTTAATATACAACTTTCCCAGGAAGGTTCATGAATCCATGAACTCCCTAAACTTAAAAATTTTGTGCCTGTGTATGCTTGGTTTCAGATGCCTTCACACTATGTGCAATACTTTCCACTAAAAACTGACCAGCATTTCTTTTGCCTACTGATAAGTAGAAAAATCAAGAGGTGAAGAAATGATTTAGTGACATACACTTATAAGTGCTAGCACTTTTGCTCCCATGGGAAATAGTCATGCTACAGTCCCTCCGCCATTTCTCCCTCTTTGGGGATTTTGGGGCCACACACATACACCTGCTGTGTTTTGCAAATGTCAGGTCCAAGACCAGAACCACTAGAAACGTAGGATCCAGCCACTTTAACCACAGCCACCAGCTGGTCCCCAAATTTTTAATAAGCATGTAAAGAGATGTGCAGCTTCAGTGAAACCAAGAACATGAAATCAGAACCATAACACACACAAAGGTCTTGAAACAGTTCTTTTAAGAGCCAGTAGGTAGGTGGGGGCTAAGATGGCTGGATTCCCCTACTTAGGCGTGCGTCCCGAAAACACCAGAACGACTACGTGTATATGTCCAAAATCCCAAGAACATGGAGAGCTCCCAGAGTCTTGTCGAGGAGCCTGGAACGGTTGCTCGCCGAAGGAGAAGACCCCCAGGGGAGTCGAGGGGACCAAAAAGGGAAGGAGTACAACCGTGCTCCTGCTCTCCCTGCCTCCCCAGCAGCGCTTTACATTGAAGGTCACCATCGCCCCCGTCCGAAGGTGGGAGCTGAGCGTGCTTGGGGGCCCGGTTCATGCACTCCAGGGCAAATGAGATGGTGACCAAGACGGTGGCCACCCTGCTCCCGGCTCCCGCATGTGTCGCTGCGGCTGGGACCCCCACCTCCCTACACCTTGGGGGTCCCTCGTCCCACGCTCCGGGACGAGGCAGACGCTCCGGCCCGTCCTCAGCGTCCTCTCACCGCGGAGCAGCTTCCCAGTCCCGGCCCACGGTGCCGCCTCCCTGCCCCCAGCCCCGGGCTCGGGCTCCGCTCCGGC